ATTGTGAAAGGATTTTTATAGGGGTGAAACGCGTCAATTTTTAATGAAATGTTTTGACAACTTATTTGATTCATTATTCAGCAAGTTAACATGAAACATGATCTGCGGCATAGACATGCTTCTTATGCAAATGACTTACTGAGTGAATCAACTTCTTAGGGTTCTGACTGCTGAGACACCGAGCATGCGACTGAGATACTTGCAACTCAACAAATAGGCAGTTACCAACTCATCAAGAAAAAAAAAACAGTGATTGACATGGTCACATGCTTCTCGGTTTCCACTCATCGAAAAATAGTCCGTCTTTTACCTTTTCTTGTTCAAAACTCCCAAACTTTCATAATCAAGCAGAACAACAAATACCTACCTGTACCTACCACTGGAGAAGCTTGTTTGCGCTCATTTTTGTTCCATATTGTCCTAAACAATCCTTTGTCTGCATCATAAAAACGTCACAGAGCAGTAAATGCACCCGGCCCGCCAACAGGCTCAATACGGGGATTGGCGTGGGGCCGGCCGGCGGTTACGTCCGTCCCTCCTATATGAGCCGGCCGGTCCTCAATCTCCGTTAGGTCTGCCACACCCGCTGGTCGGAGATAAATGGCGAATAGCACTCGCGGTGAGTGTGAGGCGCCGGACACAGGTACCGAGGGAGAGCGGGTCCGCCCTGAATGGCCTCAGATGGCCGGCGGAGAGGCGAGCACCCATTGGTCTTCTTTTCCAGCGCCGTGAAAAATAGGAAAGCAGCGCCCATTCCGAACGGTGTAAAGAAAAACAGTGATATAATCGCATAAGAGTCGCATGATAGCAGAACTATGCATGTAGAATGCACCAATGGTCACGGCAGTCATCATACACGCCGTAGTAGGTAACTCATTCATAAGCACCTTCTCTTATGATCGTGCAATCATAATCAAAACCTCAGCATCCAAGCGTTTGCTGTGCACGCGAAACTTCCACATCATAAGCAGGCGAAAAAATGTGCGTTACACACAACATGCTTTGATCATCACCGACATCGTTCCCACAAGTACTTTTATTTATCCATTGCTAGAAAACCGACAAACCTTGCAAACATGCAACAGCTGCATGCAGCCGGCAGGCAGACAGCATCATCTCCAGCACAGCCTGCAGCGTCGTCACCGCGTCCTGCACCTTGTCGATGAGCTGTCGGACGATGCCGTTCCACTCGCCCGTCTCGAGGTCCACCACGCCGTACAAGCCGTCCGGGTTCAGCGTGATCGTGTAGTTGAAGCCCACGAAGTTGGCGATGGCGCGCAGCAGGTCGATGCAGAACCCCTCGAACCGGTCGTTGCCGGTGAGGTTGGCCCCCTGGCGCAGCATCACGTACGGCGTGTCCTGCGCGGTGGTGTGTTGGGAGTGGTGACAGTCTTTTATGGCAGCGAGCCGAGAGTAAAGCGCAACACCTCCTTCATCAAAACCGAAGTGGCAGATAGGAGTGAAAACGTGTCTTGAATGCAATAAGCATTTACTGGCTTGTTTCTTTCTTACCCAGGCTGGGTAAGTAGTCATAAGGGAGACGTGGGACTTTGGAAAACAGCAAGCACATTAGTTAAATTAAAAAATTGTGCGTATTTCGCGCAAATCACGTCTATGGATACATGCCGTTGAGGATAGAGCTCTCTCTATAAACCGTAAAGCCCTTCTGGCATGCGTTGTTCAAAATTCCTGCCACAAATTTATGATTGGCTCACTCATTAGGAAATCACTCTGCGATTCTGTTTTGCATGCAAATTATTAATTGGACTCGGGGTGACGACCATTTAATGACATTTCAATCGAACCAGGAACCAAGCGGCGTTCATTGAGGATGCTGCACCAAACAGCCGTTTAGAGTGCCAATCTCAGCCGCGGAGTTTCGCGGTTAGGCCGGCAATCTCGGCGGCGGGGCCTGCCGGGGACTCGACACACGAGTCACGCGCCTTCCCTCAGCGGCCCGTGTCAGATAACCTCGCGCCGCGACAGGACCGCGGTGGGCTGCCTCCAATAAATACCGCCCCCTCCACCAGCCAGCCTACCGCGGCCAGCGCTAGCCATGTAGTCAGACGGAACAGCGCGGGTTCATCGGTAGAGCCACGCATGAAGATGAGAAGATTCTTGAGGAGTCGAACTGTAAGACTTGATGTGAGACGAATTCCATTTCGAGTCAGGGAGATCGATGCCCTGTCGAGGTATGTCGAGACGTGTCGATCCATGTATAGCTATGTCCAGCCAGAGTTCTATAGCCTTGGTCCAGCCATGTTGATCCATGTCGAGCCAACTCTCTGTCGGGCTGTGTCGACACGATCTCCTGCGGCCCGCTTATCGCACAGCGCTGCTCGACAGGAGTTGAATGCAAAATCAGCCGAGAGGTACCGCCCAATCGGGTTCCAGCGGACGAACACGCGGCAAAAGCTGAAATCGGATAGCTGGTAGGGTAGTGGTATTCCGATAGGAACAGTGCCGTAATTCTTTCAGATTGGAATACTTGCGCATCATTGAATAGTTAGGTGCATTTTACTAGCCTCATAAAAGAATAATAAATGTCTGGGAAATTTGTGCAATTTAGCCTATCACGGGGAAAAAGGACGTTCAAAATAGGCATCATGAGTTTCATATGGTACAACGTTTCTTTGAGCATGATTATAATCAATAAAAATGGTAAAATTGACCTTATGCTCATAATATCGGATAAATTAATTGAAAAATTAAAGATAATATTTTACCATTTTTATTAGGCATCATGATTTTGATGAAAGTCGTTGCCTCGCTAGACGTCCATGTGAGCTCAGTAACACACTTGGGATAACCCACTTTATTTTACCGTGATACCGAGCTTACTGGTGAACGGAACGGAGCTGGTGACCAGGTGAGTTTTACGGGTGGGTGACTAGGGTAAGAAAAGTTACTGAAGACGACGACTACCTACACCTCGGAAGGACGCTCAAAACGGAACCAATAGTGTCTAATGGATCACCTGCTCTCACCAGATACACGTATCAACTAAATCAGTGTTCTACGGCCCCCACTGCGGTGAAATCTCTCTGCGGTGTCCAACGCTAGCCCAAGTGCCGGCGTTGTGTCTCCCCGGGGGAGTCCCAGGTGCGCGGCCGGCGCCACGTACGCCCTTGATGATCTCGTTGACCATGCCGTCCCACTCTCCGGTCTCGGGGTCCTGGGCGCCGTAGCGCCGGTCGGGCACCACCTCCATGATGTAGGAGAAGCCGGCCATGTCGGCTATCAGCTCCAACAGGTCGATGCAGAAGCCGTAGAAACGCGCGTTGCCCGTGTAGTTTTTGCCAGCGCGCATCATGACGTAGGGCGTTTCCTGGCTCGGGCAGAAAATGTGCGATTGAGTGCTGACATTGTGACTGCTGTGTCCCCTTGTGTTTAGAAAAAAAGTAAATTAATATATGATATAATAATAAACACCAAGCACAAGTTGTTTCATACGCATGAAACTAACGTCTACAGGACAGCGTGGTGTTGAGGGTCAAGATCAAATAAACTTTGGCATTAAAAAATCTAGCATGGCGCTCGCAAATGCATTTTATAAGAATGATAAAATCGTTTCAACGGAAATGTAAAAAAAAACTCCGAATTTGAATGGCTTTGTAGGTTTAAAATGTCCCTATGAGATATTCGAAACGTGGCAACAAAAAGAACGGTACATACTGACAAGCAAACTATTATCATGTGAGAACAGCATTTTAATGAGCTTAGAAACATGATTTAGTCCGAGAAAGAACACCGAAGCGTCTTCGTTCGGCCCCGTGGCTTCATCTTTTAAGTGTTGGCGCATCCTGCAGTGGCAGCTACCTCAGCTGGGTGGCGAGGCCGGCAGTCAGGGCAGCTATCCGCTGCCGCCCCGGAGGCTAATGCACTTGTCAGCTGGGGCGTAAATACGATTAGCACGCTCTCACAGGGGCAGCAGAGAAAGATTCGGACCAAGCCGGCAATTGCTTGCTGAAAATCATAGTATTCTGAATACGTCAGGTATGTACGAACAGACTTTTCGAACACATGTGAACTACAAATATAAGTCCTAAAATAGACTCAGGAAGGCAGTTCGGGTGCATCTCAATGGCCATGTTATCAGAGACTTTTGTCATCCACAACTGTCATAAACCGCTGTTACCAGCAGACATGACCCAGGATCCAATTGTCTGCGGCATCCACGGTCCCCATAACCGAGAGCCACGACAATGTTGGTTGATAAATACAAAGCTCATTAGGCTGATGATGAATTTCCATGATTCTAGATTTAGACGTTTTCTGGTGATGGACCTGGGATGTTTCCAGTGGTACCTATTGCCGTTTGAATATGGAATCGTCTACCTTCTGGTCCATGGATACCCTAGAAACTGATTCTTTTGTTTAGTTACCACGAACCGTTTATACTAAAAATGATCTTACAGTATTCAAAGCTGTTTCAGAATGTTAGGCTATGGCAGCTCATAAGAGATAAGCTAGCTAACAAATCTTAGCTCGTTGTTTATTAGCCAGTACAACGACTCACTAGGTTAGTTGTAACCACCAGTGTGACGTTCAGCGATCCAGGGTCGTAGAACGCCTCGTAGTCCGTGATGTTCACCTGTCCAGCCGGGGTCCACTCCCCCACCTGCGGGAGCATCGAACAAGAGTCACACTGCCAGCCTACAAGGCCGCCGCAGTGTGGAGTACAGCATGTGGTTCACTCCCAAATCGATGCAGTGTGGACACACGTTAGTGAGAGATGCACCGGAGGTATCAATTGGCACACTTAAGTGGATCGAGGTTACTAAAACAGTAGACAAATAAAAGTGATTCGAAGTTTAGATGGTCTGTAGCAGTTTTTTACTTATAGGCTCAGCGCCATTCCTCGGAAAAGATAAACAGAAGTTGAGCCGTGCACTGACGAACCTCCCAGCTGACAAGCGGCCGCTACCAGGCAGCTCTGCGCGTCCGGCGACAGTGGTCTCTCTCGTATACAAACTGGCAGCCGCCTCTCCGCGCGGTCAGTGCATCTCGGTGGGTCGCGCGCCGCTGATCGTGTGCCGCCTCCCGCGCCGCGCGCGCCCCTCCGCCGTGCTCCAGCCTCTCGACACGGAGCGATCGGACGGTTATCTGCCGCGCCCGCGCCGCCGTGGCCGCCCGCCGTAGGCCGCAGTCGGCCACTGGTGGAGATCCCGTGCCGACCAAACCCGCCCCGCGCCCGCCGCCCTCGACATGGAGGTCTACGTGGCACAGATTCTCGGTATCACCGCCATCTTCTTCATCACGACGACGATCGGCGTGACGCCCGGCATTCTGCTCAGGAGGAACTCCAAGTCTCTGGACACGAACTCGCCCGGGTTTCGCCTGATGGTGAGCGTCGCCAACTCGCTGGCGTCTGGAGTATTTCTCGACCTGTGTTTTCTCGGTTTGATTCCGATGGTGCAAGATCTGTTCAATAAGGTATGGCAGGAACTGGAAACTGAAGTACACTACCCCGTCGGTGAGGCCATTGTGCTGTGCGGATTCTTTATGATCCTCACTGCGGAGAACTTTGCGATCTGGCTGCAGAGTCGGCAGCCGAAGGGCAAGAGTTCCGGTCTGCGGGCTCTGAGTATGGACGACATTGCCGAGGTGGCGTCGCAGGTGCCCAGTCGGAGGGACTCCCTGCAGGAGAGTGCCGAGACGCGGCCCGAGAAGCAGGCGCTGAACGGCGTGGAGCTGCAGCAGGTGGCCGTGACTGCGGCGCCAGAGGAGGACGGCGCCGCGCACGGACACAGCCACGGCGCCATGTTCGAGGCTGAACACTCGGGACTGCGCTTCCTGATGCTGCTGGCCGCCATCAGCCTGCACTCGCTGTTCGAGGGCATGGCGATCGGCCTGCAGGTCTCACTCTCCACCCTCCTGAACCTGCTGTTGGCGATTCTCATCCACGAGTCTCTGGTAGCGCTGGCCATCGGTGTCAAGATCGCGCAGCAGGGCGCCTCGTTCTGGCGCAGTGTGAAGCTCATCTGCACGTTTACACTGATGATCCCCGTTGGTATTGGGTTGGGTATTGCGGTGGGGACAGCCACCGGTCTGATTGGCAACGCTATTTCGGGGACGTTCCAGGCGCTGGCTGCCGGAGTGTTTCTGCACGTGACTTTCATGGAGCTGGTGCCCGACGAGCTCGAACACTCTCGTAACGCCTTCGTCAGCATCGCCTGCATGTTCCTCGGCTTCGCGGGGATGTCACTGATCGTTTACCTCACAGAGGGGTAACATCTCGCCAGAAGGTGAATCGAGATGTCAAGTTCCTGGCTTCAGGGAAGCAGCATTGTTTGACGGTGACCAGAGATGTCCACCGAAATGTCAATGCGACTTCAGAAAGGCACAGATTAATGATAACCTTAACCCATTAGGCATATCGCTTCATGATCAAACATCGATAGACAAGTGCTTCAGTCGATAAACTGCATGCTCGTCGAGCACGTGATCTCCGAGAGATATGCCATGTTGCGATTGCACGTGACACGTGACGGGTTACGTAGTGCTAAATGGGGGCCGCTGTGGAAGACCGTGCAGGGAGCCATGCGACCTGTATGTGTGGTTCGTCCATGAGCCGTCCATCGCAAATGATGCACATAAAGTGATGCTTATTATAGCAAGATTTTAGGCTTGCATTGACGATGACGAACTGAATGCATCGATGTAGGTATGTCTCGGACGACGGGGACCTGGGCAAATGCGTCAGCGCCTGCTTCTATCGAGTCCTGGTTAAATGTCACAGGGGTTGCTGAAAATGTACGGAAGAGTGACTCCATTGAGATGGCGTCTTTATCATGTGGAATGAGGTTGTGGCTACACTGTGGCATTACCTCCGAATCGATGTCTTTTACGAAATCCGATCTACTGTTTGCTATATGAAAGTCGCTGTCGCTCGACGTTTGGGCCTCGCGGCTTTGCGTCATGAACCGACAACGCTACTTGAGGATCGACTCGCACTGAATTACTATATGAAATAGTTGTGGCCTGTGTATTTGTAGATCATAGCTCCTCGTTTGCAGAAAAAAAAGCGTCTAGCCACATTTTCTGTTCAGTAAAATCGCCTGCTGCAGCCTTCTTCGCCGAGGTCGCTGTTGACTTTAGGTTGTGCGTATGTTGATGACTAAGATGTGTGCAATGTTGAATTTATTACATATCATGTACTGTTGCATGATCTGTGCCAATACACTTGTTCATACGCTATGTTTTTCTTTTGTTTGCCTTCCCACCCACAGTAAGCATTCATAGCCTTAAAAGTTGAAGTGGGCAAATACGATTAGACAGCTGATACGGCTGCCGATGTTTTATTTACCTGGCCTTGGCTTCAGAGAGATCAGCATAGTCAGAACATTCCTACATGTTCCGAGGTTCTGTACATACATAGGGGAGGACCGTACAAGAGTACGCACCTAATGCATTTTGTCGTCTCACGCCGTTCGGTTTTGGTTTACGGCTACGATCAGTATATTCCGATAAAGCCTGATCATTTGTCCACAAACTGTCATGACCACAGCGGCCTACGTCCAATTTAAAGCGTGACCGTAAGCAATTTTCTAACACCCTGCATTTGCGTACTCTTGCCCGATAGGCAGTACAAGAGTACGCACTTCGTGCGGGTGGAGTACGCACTACGTGTATGCATTCCTACTCGCTTGAATCAATGCATTCATGCAAGTAATTAAACTATTGTTATCTTTATTGCCGCAGCCACTAAAACGGTCACTCTTAACAGAGTCGAGGCGCCCCGCTGTGGTCGTGCAAATGCACCCTGGTCTACCAGAAACAGTGATGCTCTTCGTGGTTTCCCCAACTGCTCGGCGTCCCCCCGAGTGTCATCCACCTTGTTGGCCAATCCCGTGAATCTGCTGAGGGGTTGCGCGCCTGATGCACTAAGTTGATTAATGCAACACAACCACGCACTCGGAAAACTGCGAACTCTTGTCCGCCACGGCAATGCGTACTCATGGCCGACACATACGGTAGACACAAAGCGGGCTGAGAGCTGGCGCCACAGTAGTCGCGTAAACAATTGGGACTTGACACACGCACCAGATTCCCCGTGGTATCTTGATAGGAAAAAATGAAAATTCTATTGCCGCTCCCTGAGGAAGGTCCCACCTTTTCCTGCACCCCAAAAAGTATAAAAGCGATGTGAAAAAACACGTCTAAGCCTCTAAAAAAGACAAGTGAACCCGTAGCGCGCCCACCTTCCACCATCGAAGCCGCGTGAGAGACAGCTTCCTTAGGACTCGAGATGACGCTGATGAGGCGTTGCTAAGCAACCGAAACAGCTGCTGCGTACTCTTGTCGCCTGCGTCCTCTTACCCGCCCTTACCCTACATCCATACTCTTACATACAGTGTATCGGCCGCGTACAGTCCGGGGATGACGGGTCGCACGCCAGCGATCACCATTCGGAGCGAAGTCACGTCATGTCCTATAGCTGGGGTTCAACCAATATACCTACCACATATACGTCACGTCACGTCATAACAGTGATAACAAGCCAACAACACAAACATTTTTACAAAATGAGATGACGCAGTATTTCGGAACTTTTTTTATTTTGTGGTGAAACCTTATTAAATGACAAGTATTTTGTGAAAAAAAATGCTTAGGCATAAGAAAAAGGTTCCTTCCGGTGCTCTTTTCTCCATAGGCGCGGGAACTACTTTCAGACTGGGGGGGCATACCATAATGGAGATGAACCTAGGGTACCCCCAAATCTAGTTTTCTCACCGGTTTTAGGCCACTTATTTTTCATCCCTTGGCTTTTTCAACAAAAAAGAAAAACATTTGCAAAAAAGTGCAGTATTTCGTCTCAAAGTTGTGGGGGCACCGCCCCCACGGCCCTAGAGTTGCGGGGCAAGCTGCCCCCACTGCCCCCCCGGCTCCCGCGCCTATGCTTTTCTCCCCTCCAATGAGTATTGCTATGTTCCTGCATGGCAGCAGATTTTATGCAGCATACCCACGCAAATCACGAGCATCAGAGAGACCGTTCGGCACTATGGAATTGAGTGCTTCCTGATTTACCGCACGTCCGCTCGTTGAGCTGTATACTGTCGGCCTGTCTGTCCGTCAGTAGACCTCAGCCCGAATGCCAGCCCGTCAGTAGACCTGCCCGAATGTCTGTCCGTCAGTAGACCTGTTAAAATGTCAGCCCGTCAGTAGACATGCCCTAATGTCAGTCCGTCAGTAGACCTCAGCCCGAATGTCAGTCCGTCAGTAGACCTGTCAAAATGTCAGCCCGTCTGATGCTTGTCCAAATGTTTGTCCGTTTGATGGCTGTTTGGATGTCAGTTTGTTTATATGCCTGTCTGAATGTCACTTTGTATGCCAGTCTAAATGTCAGTTTGTTTGTAGACCTGTGTGTGGATGCCTGATGCCAGTTTGTCTGTAGGCCTTTCTGAATGTCAGCATTTTACGGACGACAAACAGTTGCATTAATATTACATTAAACAAACACTAAGCTTTCTCGGTGTCAATGCGTCCAACGACTCCAGTCCGCGGCAGTCAACCAGGAATGCAACGGACCGTGCGCACATGCACACCTGTGCTGTAAAAGATGTCGCCAGGACCCGTTCATACCTTGACGAGGTCGTGTTGTTTGAGTTTGAGCAGGTCCAGTTTGAAGGTGGTCCTCTTGCCCTCGCTGAACTGAATGGGTCCGGTCAGACCGCGCAGTTCCCGCACCTGGCCAACAGAGGGGCGTCAGCGAAACGCCAGAGCAGCGTCAGTGACGCGCCTGAGACCGGTCAGCGTCGGTCTCCGTAAAACTGTAAGGTTGTATTACACCTGAGTTGACAAATTTTGGTCAAACGTTGGCCATGGTGTCACAAAAATATGAGCAAGGTTCAGCAACTTTCAGCCCGCCGCCCGTTCTGGAGTCCGTCCCGGCTGATATCGACAAATACAAACTGAAACTCACTCGCCTGGCTTTGTCGAATGGAATAGTCTGTTTTATTCCAGGGCAGCACATTTCGGCTGTCTCACCTAATATAACATTAATTACGCTTTCATATTTCATCGATGCTTCTGAGAACAAATAGTGACAAAAAAATATGCGTCAAGCAAGAGCAGAGCACGAGCAAGCTCCGCAACGCACATTTACTGCGCGTCAATGGCCCCCTCTTCAGCCGATGTGAGACCTCGTGTCGATGGCCAATCAGACGTAAGAGACAGATTACATTTGTCGAGTGACTGGCACTATTTGAACAGATTCTGCCCCATACTGAATACCGCTCAAGAGGTCTTCGTTCGGCGGATTTCGTGTGCTCCCTTGGACTGTCACAGATAGGTTTCTTGGAAGTGGAAAGAAAATAGGCTGAAGAGACCATCCGATGTGATACAAGTTTTACGCAGTAGAAAGCAGCGTCATATGCAACGAGTGAGGACAATGTGCAACGTAGGGAGCCCAACAGGTGTGTGCACTGTGCAACTGCATTCTTATTTTGGTTAGCGGTGATCACCCGATCGATCATATGTCATCGATGTCATCGAAATTATTGGGTAAAGCACATATATGCCAAACTGAAAATGTGTGATAAGATGCAATAAATGAGGTTAACCCGCGCACCGACGGGGGTCTGCGCCAGCTTACAACCGACAGGGGGGGGGGGCAGATGACCCCCCCCCCCTGAGATCTCGAGAACGAAGCAAGATAGCGACAAGCGGTAAACGGCATGGGGTACGCAAGGACAAGGTCTACAATTTTTACAAAGGACACTTTCAGGTCAGGTCAAAGATGACGTTACAGAGGTCAAAAAAGTCAAAATGGCGGCGCTAGATATTGAGAGTTTTTATCAAATAACGTTCGAATTAGTCAAACTAGGAACAAACTAAGGGAATCATCGTGATCCTCTCGCCAATCCGCATTATATATATGTTGACCTCGAAAGGTCAAGGTCAATGGTTGACCTCAGGTCACGTGACCTCGAGGTCATCATGTATATCATTCGATGCGCCTTGACGAGCTGAACACAATGGGACCATCCGCGCGGCTGCATCTCGTTCCTGTAAGGAGTTATTGGCAAAACACCGTTGGTGAACTTTGATGACGTCACATGACCTTACAACTGTCCAACAGCAAAACAGGCCTCAATGTAGGAAGGTTGATCGTATATGAAGTCAGGTATGGTATATGGGGCCATTCCGACGCGTTTTAGTGAAAAAAAACAGGGAGTTGATTCCCCCCCCCCCATTGACTTATAACCCGCGCCCTGGTGGGGAGGGGCTATTTTTGCCCCCCTCCAGACTTTTCGATATATCTCCAGAACCGCTGCGCCGATCGTCACCAAACTTTCAGTACCCTCTCGGACATCAATTTTACACATTGTGACCAAAATTTTTTCCAAAGGCTATGATAGGTTGGCCGGAAATGACGTCAGAGTGACGTCATGTTCTGCCATTTCGACCCAAAAAAGGGTTTCGCGGGAAGATTTGTCAGGCCTATAGCTTTGCAAATACAGAAGAACGATAAGACATAAAGCTGTAGAATTGACAGGGCTACAAAACTGCTGTCTCGGATTTTTGAAATATTTGGATTTTGACCCCCAAAAATCAAAAAATAGATTTTTTGAATAAAATAGCCGAAAAATCCAAAACGTTTTTGGAATTTCGCAAAAACCGGAACATATGTCATAGTCCTTACCGCCTTCTATCTACATACCAAATTTGAGATTGATACCTTTTTTTGGCGAAGTTATAGCAAAAAAAAAACTGTTCAAAATTGATGACGTCAAATTTTCAAACTCAATTTTTAGCAATTCTAGACCGCGTAGCGCAAAACAAAGGCCACCATTAGACTCCCCGTGGCGAGCTGCATTGAATCAATACCCATTTTATGCAAAACTATCAACTTTAAAATTTGACCTTTCTTGACCTGACCTTGACCTGACCTTCACCAGAAAGTGACCTAAGCCGTACCTGATAGTCTTATAACCAACAGCATTGAGTTGGAAATGAAAAATTGGCCATAAAACATGCATCGCACAACCTTAGTAGGTACCTAAAGTTAGGTTCATGTGACCTAACCTGTGACCCTTGGTGACCTGACCTGTGACCTGACCTGGTATTGTCAGTGACCTCTGATAGCAACATATGTACTAGGCAACTGACGCCCTATCGCTGATTCTCGACAAAATGCGTTTTCTTCGGTGTTATAGCGCATTCCCTAGATGACCCGTGAACGGTGAAACATGTCA